GAGCCGCCGAGGCGAGTGGGTCACTTTTCTTCCCACTTTATGACGTCATACTGTGTATCTATAACTGAACAGACAACGGCAAAATCTTATCTATTTGTTTTGAATAATAAAAAGAAAACCCCCGAATTAAACAGGTAAATAGCTTACTTTTTATCCACCAAAACATTTCGAAATTTTACAAATACCACGCATTCATGATCTACACAAATAAGGGCATGCTATTTGCTATCTTAAGTCACGTGCTGTGTGGTGATTGGCTGCACAGGACAAAGTTTTGTATGACGTAATTCCGTGCGTCTGGCCCTAATAGATCATGGCTCTCGACCAATGAAAGCGTTTGAATTCTTAACGTTATTATATATTACACATTATAATATAGCATTTGTAAATTCTGAACGCTGATTGGCTAAGAGCCGTGTTGATATAACTCAATGTCAACACGGGAAATTTTCCGCCGCTTGCAAACACGGAAATTTTTCTTATCCTTCGGGCTTTTGACATTGTTATATTATAAAAAAAATATAAAACATTTTTTCCGTATTGATATATAGTTATATCAACACTCGTGGAAGTTGGGAAAACTCGAAATTGTATGAAAACACTCCGCCCTTCGGGCGTCGTGTTTCCATACAATTTCTCGTTTTCCCAATTCCACTCGTGTTGATATAACTGTATATCAACACGGAAAATGTTTTGTATTTGTTAAATATTACACACACTATATCTGAATTTGAGCTTTGAGCTATGAGCTATCGCGCGTTCTGAGTTGACCGGTAAATCTGACGCATTATTTACCAGCGGACAATAAATAATGCTTTTCAAAAAGAACGATTCGGCAAATTTGGTTTCAAAGTCGATGAAATATTGGAAACAATTAATTGTCCCCAGACAACGAAAGAAGCACAAAATGTTGTATTTAACTTGAAAGGTAGGATTCGATTCCTTTATTATTTTACTGTGTCAAACATATTCACGAACAATTTAAAACCTATTTAAAACTCAGAAACATTCTCTTCAAACAAATAGAAAAACTGTCCAGACTGTTAGGAAAAACCTTGCCGTGATATTTTTTTAAAACCATTTTGTTTAATTTGTCTCCTATAGATATTTCAATTTGTACGATACTATTACGATACATGTCATGTTCTCATTGTGCTGTACTGCTGTATGGTGTCCTGCCGCTGTATTGTGTTTTCGAAACTTGCGAAGTAAAAAGTGTATTAAAACTTTATTTCAAGGCATTCGAGCAATGCCAATAGTTTTACATTCCACTTTACCAATTTTCTCGACCATTTCCTCAACAAATTAATGCTAAACAGAAACTATTCTGTTTATACTGGTGAAAAAGTCATCCCATCATTGTGTTTATATTCTAAGCAGAAACCGAGAAAAACAACTTTGTAATAAAGGAACAAAGTCACGGAGGAAGCCATTTTGAAAGCGTGCGTGTACAAGAAAACTGCAACACTAAAACAGTAACCGTGTAACCGGCCCCAAACAGTTTTATTTCTGAATTTTAGTTAAACTGATACTTGGATATTTTGTTTTATTCATTTAAAAATTTATACTAAAACGTATTATTTGCCTCAGACTCATTGATTACGGTGAATATATTCACATCGACTTCGTTTCGGTAAATATTAACCGGTGAATCACTTCGCCTTCGGCGAATAATTGTTAATTATTAATTTAGTGCCAATAAACTAATACGTCGAAATTAGCCTTTCCCACGTTCGGCTTCTCCGCCATTTTGGACTATCCTAGGAATACCGTCCCCCGCTTATATTAAATTCTCCCCCATATCAATTTTGGTCTAAAAACAAAACAAATGCAAGTTGAAAATAATATTACACAGATGATTTAGATTAAAGGCAAATTATTTCTGTTCATATGTTTGGCATTTTTATAGCTAGTGCATATTACTGGAAGAATTAGAACAGTTTGGAGTTGTTTTTTAAACGGGCACCGTACGAATTTTGCCATTTGTCGTGCTTCTTTTGCCAAATCAAAAATCAAAAGAACGAACGCGTGCTCTAGCCCAATTTCCGGTACCGTAAGGCCCGATTCGCAGGCAAACAATGCGCGCAAAGCAGGCTTGTTTCCCATTGTTTAACTGCCCCACACTCATGCAGTAACGTACCACAAAGACTCACTTTGTTTTTGTGGTTTTCTCTACTGGCAATAACACTCGGCATGAAATACAAACCCTTTCTTGCGGAAATACTAAAGAATAATATCACAGTAAATACAGGTGTAAATATTTATATTTTCGCAACTCAACTCTTATTCTTACATCACAATAACAACTCATGTGAAATGCACTAATCTGTATCACACCAGTTGCTTGATTTTAGAATGTTAACTTGACAACAAATCCTATTTTGTCCAGTGGCGTAGCCAGCCCGACAATTTGGTCATGCTATGCAAATATTTCCGTGTTCATAGACTGTGAAAACAATCGATTTCTAAAGAAATGAATAATGATAATGATTTAAAATTTGCATAGCATGACCAAATTGTCGGGCTGGCTACGCCACTGATTTTGTCATATCAATTCCTTTGCTGGCATGAGTTGTTATTAATTGTGATGTAAGAAAAAGACTGAGTTAAGTGGCGAAAAATATAATATTTGCCAAATTACTGTGATATTATTCTTTCTTGATTAATGATTCCATAAGAATGGATTTATTTTACGAGGAAAGACACTACAACAAAATGGCGAATATTGGCCCATGTGAGAAAAGCTCATTACATCATGCAAAAGCTTAAGGGTGAGTCAATCACAATTTCTCACGTGTTTCATGCATACAATTTAGTGAATTTGTTTCTTGGTGTTTTATGTATATTATTGATTAGTAATGATATACTATAATAATATGGTTTCTCGCGCAATTTTTGGGAAAACATACATGTAAACTCATGTAAAATTTGTATATATATAAAACTGGTATATAATAATAGCATTTATGATTTTCGCTTATGCCACATATAAATATTGTACGTTGCAGATGTATTTGTTAAATTCTGAAGAGCAAAAACATTGCATTACTCTGTAGAATGGTGGTTGTAATATTCCTGCTAAAACAGCTGCAAGATAACCGAAAAAATTAGCATATCGATAAATACAGAAACAAAAGCATAGTGTTAGTGAAAAAATAGAAGCACATACACAAAGCATAAGGTCATGGAAAAAATAGGACGAATAGTGGCCGAAAAGACATATTAGGAAACTAGGGGCACCCAGGGTCTTCATACCTCCTCCAACAAAATATTTCAATTTTAACTTAAACTTGGAACGCCAATTGTTTTGTCGAAATGTTTGAATGTTTAATTAAACGAAAAGTTTTATTATCACGCGATGTATGTTGTCAAGGCCATTTCTGAATGTTGTCAAAATCGTTAGATTATGATTGGTGCTAGAATAAATGCAGTTCAATTAACGGAAATTGTGATTGGCAAGCCATTGTGAGTGAAAATCGTGGTAACTCGAGTATTTACGCATGTAAAATTATACATGCACTAATTACTCTTCAGTCGTTTTCGAATTCATTCTGAAAAAGCAAAACAAACTTTTGTACATTTCGCATTCGATTTTATCCAAATCGAGCAAAAGTTTAATCTGTTTGTCTTTGGCCTATGACCATTAGCACCATGCACAAATTTCTTCTTAAACTGTTACATAGTTTGTAGGCCATTCTGTTAACTGAAAAACATAAACAAACAAACAAACCGATGTAAAAACATAACCAAACTTGAGCCGGGGCACTCGGAGACTGCATGTCTTAAAAGTTATATATATCATGCATAAATTATACAATGGACTAATTACGCAATCATTCAGTTCTCTACCGGCAAAGCAAGAAAATTTTTTTCCAATTTCTCATCAAATTTTCATCCAAATTTAAAAAAAATTAATCAATTGTCCTTGGACAATGTCCATTAGTCCCACAAATTTTCGTGTTAATTTATACGTTTTAATTTATTGCAATGCTTAAGCGAAATTCGACATCGCTTTAATATTTGTGCATGAACTTGTTATTTTGTTAGTTTGTTCTAAATCATAACACTAATACGTCTTTGCGCTCGTGGTGCACTTGTTTTGCGCATGCTCCACGGTACCGCACTGTAGTACTATGTCTGGTATTTTTTTAAGTTAACGGGCTGACAGACAAACACACAAACAAACACAAACATGAGTTTGTTTGTTTATGTTCGGAGGTAACAAGGAACATCTAAGAAAAGACAAAGTAGCATGTAAGAAGGTAGAGAAATAAAGGAGGAACTCCGAGGAAGGGGGTGAGGGAGGATGAATGGATGGATTGAAGGAAGGAAGGAAGGAAGGAAGGAAAGAAGGAAGGAAGGAAAGAATGAATGAATGAAGAAAGGTAGAAACGAATCTTCGATGGACGAAAGGGAGGGAAAGAAATAAAGCAATTAAAAAGGCGCATTAAAAAGAAAAAGAGGGTGAGAGAAAAAGAGAAAAGAATGAAAAGGGAAGACAAAAAGGCATCAGACTTCAAACGAAGAAAGGTACTTACTCATTCCATTTACTAAAGGGCTATAATACGCATTGACCTCAAGAGGCGACTCTAAGAACCTATCAAGAATCAAGAAAATAAAAAAATTGCATTAGTTCGTTCTGAAAAGATTGAAATGATGATTTTGAGCGTCGTATGGTGCTTCTAATAGACCTTTCCCCTTTTGAGTGAAATTTTGATCTAGACAAGTCTGGACAAAAATTTCATCATAGCTTAAAAGAGCATCACAAAATTAGTAATCTTCCGAAGTTTCGTTGCGAAATGTTGTAAAATGCGGATAATATAGCCTTGCAAAGTTTGCCGTTTTTCAGTCATTTTGCATTACAAACGGGAAATTGGTAATCAGATGATCAAACTACTAATATTACTAATTTTGTGATGCTCTTTCAAGCTGTGATGACATTTTTGTCTAGACTTGTTTAGATCAAAATTTCACTCAAAAGCGGAAAGGTCTATTGGAATTTGTCCTGTTCATCTTGAATTCTAGGACGTTCTAGGCAGCCAAATTGGTGTGACTCATTATTTATTCACTTACAAGTTTAAGTTTAAGAATATGACAGACCATTAACGACCAATTTCTATGCAGACAATATGCTTTCCGTACAAAAAAAAGAGGAATGGGGAAGGGTAGGAACCTTTCAACATGACAGCGGCACCACAGTAGATTTGTGCTGGTCGCAACAGTATGGTCGCAATTGGCTTCATTTATATACAGGGTGTATATAAAAGGTAATCGAACTTCAGCGCGCTATTATACGTGAATTACTCGGCGTATGAACAATTGGTTTTCATATTCGGAAAGGTCAGGCTTTTAGCTATTGAACGACATGCTTTTCATGCCAAATGGAGAAAAAATAAGCATGTACGAGGTCGATTAAAAATGTTAGTCAAAATCGCATATTTTCACTTCTGTGCCTAATTAAAACAATGCATAACAAAAGAAAAAGCAATTAATCACAAACGTGTCGTGGCTTAGCTAAGATTTATTCCTACTTAATAATAATTATGAATATGTGCGTCGTTTATTGAAGTGAAATTCATCAACTTTAGTGCCAAAGGGGGTTCATTTTCAATGGTTTTAGACCCAACTCCCAACAGTGAAAATATGCGATTCAGACTAACATTTTTTATTGGATTCGTATTTGCTCATCTTTTATCCATTTGGCATGAAGAAGATATCATTCAACAGCTAAAAGCATGATCTTTCCGAATGTGAAAAAATCTCGTTCATACGCAGAGTAATTCAGATACAATAGCGCGCTGAAGTTCGATTACCTTTTTTTTTACACACCCTGTATAGCAGAGACACTATCCAGTCCTAGTTTTTAGGTCAGTTTGTATAACACAGTAAGTTCTATACATATCTGGAGTAAAAATCTGCGTCGAAAAAGTGAAGTCCAGTGCCAGCCCCTTTCTACTGTGGTCCACGATGTCAAGCTACAAGAAGTGCATGTGCCAAATAAATAATACTATGGCTTTATGAACTGATAACATGACTTGCGTTATGATCTGTGGTAGAAACTGGACTCAGCTTGGATAAGCAGTATGCACACTGTTTATAATCTTCATAAGCACTGGACGTCAATTTGCGCCATCTTGGCTTTACTTTTACCATATGCTGAATGACCTAAGTTTTTACTCCTGACGTTCTTATTCCAGATGTATATAGAGCTCGTTGGTATAACATACTTGCTGTCATCAGGAGGCCTTCCCAATGTATCTAGTTTCTTCATATACTTATCTCTTATAAAACTCAACTGGTTTTGCAAAAGTTGAGATATACTGACATCAACCTGGAAAGTAAATTACAGTATATATACACAAGTTGATTGTATCACACAGAATATTTGACAGGAAACTAAACAACAAGCACTCACATTCTCATAAAACTTGTTAAGCTTGGCAGGATCTTTTATAAACGGTGGATAGGCAATGTTTTTCCTCATCTTATCTAGCTATTATGTATAAAACGATTTATTGAAAGATTATTGTACATCACAGGATTCACAGTCAGTTGCACAGTACAGTTCACATACAGTGCACACGTAGTTGAAAAGGTTATACTGCAAGTCTTTTAGATTGGGTAATGCGCTAACGTACAAAATACAACAGCGAAATACTGATTAGACAAAAGAAAATGTTATATAATGTTATAGTGCTCAAAAAGTGCTCAAAAAGTGCTCAAAATCCCAAAATAGTGCTCAAAAAGTGCTAAAATTGTGAACAGTTACCTCTAAGATTTTCGTAAATTTTTTAAAATCAGCATTTTTAAAATCTGTTTCCACGTCTTTCTCTATATATGGACGAAACTTCCGTATATGGAGTTGTTTACGACAAAAAAAAGAGAAAGCGGTCTATTTTTTTAACCGTAATGTCATATGCAGCTGTACGGCGTTTCGTTCGGAACAGTTAACTAAATTATATATAGAATATTGTATAATACCCGTCAATTTTTAAACCTTACATCAAATTGTATGTTTAGTTAAATTAATCAACTTAATCGATGTACGAATCGAATTCTATAATCGCTGACATTTTGTTGCTCGAAATTCGCTCGAAATGTGAAATATTGCTCAAATGTTGCCGCCCAAAGTGCGAAGAAGTGCTCAAGGTTGCTCAACATGCAAAATAGTGCTCCAAAATAAAAAAATAGGTACGCGACGCGTACATGTATCTGCGAAAAAACTTGATTCACATTTTCATCACTTATTATAAAAAATATAATAGCAAATAAGATTTTAAAGCCAAACATAGTACAAATCTAAGGCCGTAGACAGTACGGAGGGCTGCAGGGGCAACTCCCCCCCCCCCGCCAAGAAAATTTGACTAATTTTATGTGATTATGATTGTAACTCGGATAATTATGCAGTAAAAAAATAAAAATTTCATGCAAACAATATTCGAAGTGTCTATTTAGTAAACTGTCACTTGACAATCCATACCCATTTTCAAAACTTTATTGCAATCATATGAAGCAAAAGTTCTGTCACTTGTTGCACTAATGCCAACGTTAACTGTTAATCAGTAACATACACAAACTATTCGAGGAACATGCATTACTGTAGCAAAGAGTCAATCATATATCGAATACCACTGAATAGTAGAGAATGTTGTGAAGGTCATGATGAGTGAAGTATACAATTCAATTCCAATCGTGTGCACAGTTAATCATATACCACACTGTTCGGTTTAACACAGCATATCCACACAAAAACAATTTGTGTTGTGGGAGAATATCGGTTTGAGTAGAAAGTATCACAAGTTTAGTTTTGTACATTTTGTGCCATTGATCTGATCGATCCATATAATATATGATTATTGTAGCTGTTAAGTTATTATCCATACTAATGAATTTAGGTAAGATTGTCTTACAAGTGGGTTGTTCTGACAAAATTAATATCTAGCCAATATCCAGTATATTTATTCATCACTCTTGCATTAACCTCTAAACAAAAACATTCATGTTTAAAGAAAGCAAAATAACAATGAAATGAGGAGGGAGGGTGGGAATTCTTTTACTATCATTTGAAAATGTTTGTAAAAATTTTGTTTAATTATTATAAACTCTAATGTGTAAAACCATGCAAAATGTATAAAGTATTTTAACTGATAACATCGAACAGAGATTAATACAGAAATACAGGACCAGGATTTAATTCAATATCTCCTGAGAACATTAGTCTCCTGTGACATCGTTCATTGACAAATATATTGCCTGCTATATTTTGACTGTTTAAAATATTACACAACACAATGATTGTTTTACTGTATAAATATATAATAAAATAATAAATATGTGGTATTTGACTACTTACCAGATGAGGATAAGTTTCCATGTTGATAGATAATTTCGGAATAATATCGCAAGTAGAATGGCACGTGAAAACAAGACAAAATCAAGAGATTTTTGAAGCCAAAATGTGAAAATGGCAAAGAATAACACGACTACACGAGGGCAAACTACGCCCGTTCGTAGGTTAGATGCGAGCACGACGTAAACAATTGATGTAAACTGATCGCTGACTGGCTTAAATTGGCTTAAATTATATAAGCTCGTCGCTGAATGGCTATGTGTTAACATACGGTACAGTACGGTAACAGTACGGTACGTTTGCGATAGCATATATATATATATA